ATAAACGTTTGGAAAGGTGTTTTTCCTTATCAAGAACTTTGATACTTGTGTAATTCATAGAATGCCCTGTTGTGTTAACATGAGATGCTAGAGCGCATCTTTCAGGATGAAGCCTAGCATCACTTTTGTGTGATGTAATCCTTCCTTTAAGAGATCTGGAGGTCTGAACTATGTATATTTGGTTGCAGTTGTTGCAATTGATGGAGTAGACTGTGTTGGTTAAGCCAAGCAGCGGGACTTTGTCTTTCATTTTTGAAAAAATGCAGTTTACAGTGAGGACGGATTTGCAAGCAATTCGAAAGTTCAAAGGACTGCACAATCTGATCAGCTTAGGGGTCAGTTCCTTGATATAGGGCAGGACAGCAAAACCAGGTCTGGAGTCCGGGTTGGTGCTTGTACTGTTTGGATTGATGTTATTATTGGGAATTACATCAGTTCCGTTATTAGGGGTTGCATCACCAGAGTTCGGCAAAATATTGGAAGGTGAACTAAATAAGATCTTGTTAATCAGACACTTCGGATAACCATTATTGATGAACAGTTTTGATAGTTTACGTAAATTTGAGGTGTGGAAGGTATTATCTGAGATGCTGATTACCCTTATTTTCATCTGTTTTACCAAATTGATTTTAATCCCTAGCTTATGGTATGACTTAAAATTTAAATTCATTTTACACTTTTGTTGCTACTGTTATCATTGTAATTGCAGCTCCTGATGATGATGGCAAAGTCCATTGAAAGCTAGAAGAATTAAAATAGTATAAAGAGTCCTCTTTGCTTAAATTTTGTCGAAGTACCCAACAAAAGGCGGAAGCTTTAATTTTTCACCTAACTGGTCTAGACGACATTGACCACGTCTCAAGTTATATATATATATATTCTTCTTGGTTTCTAGGGTGGCTTTAAATTCGTTTGATCGACCATCTTCCTCTATCTTCTCATAAACTGACACTCATCACTAGAGATAATTCGTTTGTGTCCTTTAAATAATATAACGAGTCCACTTCAATTGTCGGACAGCGTTATGGTTGTCCAGCAGCTAAAGACCTTGCTGCTTTGGGGATATTCATGCAGACTGTCAGGGAAATACTCAAATCTCGATAAGCATCAGTGTAACGTAAATATCAAAGGATTGTGACCATGTTCCTCAAAACTATTTTTGATCATTTGAATAATTTCGGTATTCGAATTCTTGGAACAGCCTCATAGTTGATAACCATACAGTCATTCATTTTGAGATCTGCTTATAAATCATGATTTTGTTGCGGGGTCATCTGACGATCTTCCAATAGCCAATAATATTTCTTAGAGCGGAGGTTCAGTTCTTTGCTCTCTTTTATACCGGTTGTATCAAAGTGGACTCTCACCTTTGGAATATCGGAATCAGTCGGTTGAATAGGAGCAAAGCTACGCGAATAGAAAGTGGCACACAGAAAGTTTCGCAATTCTGAATATTTTCGCAGATAAACGAAAGAAAACTAATTTTTCGAAAATTGTTTTGGCTTTATTTGAGGTAGGATTTCAAAATAAGAATTACATTAATGTTGTCACTTTTGCACGTCTAGAAATTAGCATAATTCTGCCTCTTGTCCTCATTAACTTATATATTTATATATTTTTTCTTATAGACCCCATACTAGATTTTTTATAGGTGAATGGAATGTACGATTCTGATTTCAAAAATGTATAATGTGTCATACACTTACATTGCTAAACCTAAGTTGTTTAAAAAAAACTAATATTGCCTCAGTTGGTAGCAGAAATGACAATCTATCACATGTTTATCGGATTAAATACCGATGTTTCAATTTTTGAGATGAGCATTTTAAGGACATTCAGGTAATTTGTTCATCTATCGATTGTTGAAGGTATTATTTTGGCACGATGAAGGCGCTCTACACGACAGCGTAAACTTATGGTGTTTGAATGCTACATGTGTATGAAATGTGTTTAATGTTTTTAAATCTAGCGCTTTTTAAGTCTGTTTCTGTGATTGACTAAAGGCGATCGGTTGCGATATGAAAGATCCCTGATTCTGTAGCAAATTTGTTTGGAAAAGAATGTTTTAGTTATCTTGTGTCCCATCCGTCACTGAAATTAGTTTGAGTAATATATTTTAAATAAAACTGTTCGCGTCCAGATGAAAAAGCTATATTTTTGTTAACTTGGATACTGTCAGTTCGGCCACATAATTTCTTTTCGGTTTTGCCGCTCAATGTTTCTTTTTTTGTTTTCTCCTACTACTCTAGCGGCTACTGTACTGTTAAAATGTGCAGTATGTCTCTGCGCACTCTTAGTGTTAAATTATTCAAAACAGGTTCCAAAAAGTGCACCAAGTTTATTCATACAAAATTATGCCACCCGACATTATCCTTGATTTTGTACGAAACTTATCGTACTAAATTTAGCACAAAACTCGGTATCGTGACATACGGTCTTAACTTAAAAAGGATACGCTACCGGTAATCACCAGCTTAGGTGGATATGTATATGTATATCATAGGCTGCGCATTTTCACGCGACAAAAAAATAATAAATGATACTCCAGAACCAACAATGAAAAGCAACAAATGACAAACGACTGTGCGATCCTATCTCATCCGTGTCCTTATTTTTCTCGCCTGCTTTGCGTAGTGTAAACACCCCGCATCATAATCTTCACAAAAAAATACACACACATCCAGCACAGGAGCAGGAAGACCAGACACCCCTTGGTGATGTTTTCTCCCCAGCAGTTTTTCTTATCGCGTCGTAATGGCCGCCACAGGCGCCTCGAGAAGCAAACATTCACCCTCTTCATCCCTTGCAGCCGCCCACCCCTTGTGTTCCGACACCCGCCGCCGCTGGCGCCAAAGCGGTTGAGAGAATTTGTCAAGCTCCCGCAAAATTAGCCAGCGAGACTCTTCAAGAACTTAGCGTAGACCTTTGAGGGACTAGAATTCCCATTGTATGTAATTTCATATTATTTAAATCTTAGAGGTCTAGTTGTTTTTTGGATTGACCACCAATCCATATTAGTAACTTCCTGTGCAGCTACAGCGGATAGCTGGGAAAACTAGGAAGCATGATTGGTATGTAATAGGCGGGTATTTTTAAATCATTGAGATATACTGGGTAACAAAAAAAGGCAACCACCTGCGTATTTTTATTAGAGATTATAGGCTATATTTGATGGACTTTTGCTGCTACTATATTGGTGGAAAATAACAGTCTGCTATATTGAAATCCGCCTTGAGTATCCTATATATTTTTACACCATCGGATTTGCTATTCATGAGATTCCTTTTGACATAAGATCTATACCAGCTGATTCGAAAAATTACCTGGTTGTCACTAAGAACTCGAGATAAGGCAATAATTCCATCCCGCACCTAGATCAGCGCTACCATATTATTACATAAATACAACTAGTGTACGGAAAATTGCTCTATACGTTCACGATTTAGTTCTTGTTAGCTAAAATACAGTCGCCACATAGTGACGCGTATTGAAGTTCATATTAGGATCCAGTGGGATATTGACCCGTATTCATAAAAGAGAAGCATATCATCGGAAGCATAAGATAAAAGTATAAGGTCTTGCTTCTGAGAAACAGGTAGAAGTATAAGCATTTCTTTGTTTTCATATTCATAATGATTACTTCATAGTCGCGAGGATATCCTACAAGAAGAAGTAAAAGGTTGACTGGTATTTGCACCTTGAGCGACATGTCCTGATTTGTTCCAGCTTGTAGTTGACGTGGGAGTTCGCTCACTCAGCATCACTGACAGTTGTACTCCAGATCTTACACAGACCGTTCCGTATTTTTACTGGATACAGTTTTTTATCAAATTAATAAGCATGTCATCCTCAAGTGATGAGGAAACTATAGAAAATAATGCCAACGACCTGCAGTTCATCGCAGATGAAATTGCCATTGCTCCTATTATTTTGCAAAAGTCACAAGTTCCAAAAATAAAAATGAGAAAGGACGATGCCTTGAAGAAGATGTTGAAAAAATACGAATCAACATTCAGTAAACCATTAGATACTAAAGGCTTATTAAAAAAATCAACAACATGAAATCAAGATTGAAGAAAAAGAAACTGGTAATAAAGCAATCAAATTGTTAAATTGGGAACGAATGTTGCTGAAAGCTAGGGAATCCTATAATTGGGAAAATTAGAGGTGCCATTCAAGTTGGTAGTGTACAAGAAGAAGGAAGTGAACTATATACCGAGCGAGGTGTTTGCTCACAGCTGGTATTACAGCGACAGCAATTCAGAAGACATTGCTACCAAAAAGAAAATTAGCAACAGAGAAATACAAAACTGAGGAAACCAAAGGGTTAACTACAAAACAACTGCCACGTCTAGTGCTATTGCAGTAGTACCAAACAAGTATTTTACAACAAGAGTATTATAAAACGAAATTAGACATGATACAGCGTCAGAAGCCACCTGTAACTTACGATGTTCACGAAAATAAAACTTATTATAACTTATAAATACACTTTAATCAGTAAAACTATTTATTATAATACTCAAGTTTCTTATTTGTTGACCTAGTTAGCGTCATTCTTATGATTTCCTTCATCTTCATCTGGGTTCTTTTCAACTAACTCAAAGTCAGGATCGCCCAAGTTCTTCCCAACATTATGGAGTACAATACAAGCAATAATTATTTAACTTTACGCGGCAAACATACTGTAGGATAGGAAAGCGGCATTTCGGTTGGCCGAAAAAGCGGTCAATTACAACTCTTTTTTGCTTTAAAAGCTTATTATAATTTATTTCTGCACCTGGAGTAGGATTTCCGAAGGGAGTCATAAGGCATGGCTCAATACCATAACCGTCATCGCCAAGTAGTACAACATTTGCTTTATCTATTAGTTGTGATCTAGTCTGTAAATTTCTCCATATTCTGGAATCATGCACTGATCTAGTCCAACTGACATCAACACTTGTGAACATCTCTCTGGCATCACAAGTGGCTTGCACATTTAAAGTTGGTTTCCCTTTTCAGTTGATATACTCGTCTCCATGGCGAGTTGGTTTCAGGATTCCTATATGTGTACAATCAATTACACCAATTGCTGTCGGAGATTTATACATGCTTTGCCATATCCGCTTGGCCTCCATCAGTTCATGGTTGGTTGTTGAAAACTTGATCCATTCGTTCGACTGTGCAACTATGCTGTTCACAACTCTATCCACAGTCCGACATACCGTTGCTTGACTAACACCAAGTTCCTGACGAATACCTTGTTGATATCCAGGGTCACCGAGATAGCGTAGACATATCTTCATTTTATGAATACATGAAAGAGTCTCCTCATTCTCAACTAAAGCTGTCCGCAAGCCATTGTACATTTGCTTCATCGAACCGATATAATTTTTTGAAGTCACGACCAAGTGAAAGCAAACGAGGGTTGTACGTTTTAACATCCCGAACATCCACAATTTCCACCATCATCGTTTGACCACCTTTCGTTACTACTACTGACCACACTCAGAATTTTTGAAGGATATGCTTTCTATGCCAAGTATAAGGTGAAGATTATGAATATCCTTTTACTTATGTCACTGCTTTGAAGGATATGCTTATACACAAAAAGCAAAAGCTTTTACTTGAAATTATCATAAATACCATCTGGAGGATTTCCTTCAAAATATGCAAGTTCAAGGATATCCTTTGTTTTATGAATACGGCTCATTGTAATGGCAGATCACGTCCATCTTTTCGACAAAATTGCATTTGGCAATTATTACCTCCAATCGCATAAGCCGAGGTTAGATCTTCGGGTTCAAATCAAGTGCGTTGTTCTCATGAAACCATTTGCGAGGCTTAATTGGATACTGTCAATGATGACTTTAACCCATAACGTGAAGGGCCAACATACACAACCGTCAACCCAAGCCTATATCACCCTCCATATTTGTCATTTGGTTGGTTTTTGGGTAGTTAGGCCGTCGTAAAATATTATAAACACGAGTGGTTTGTATCTTCAGAAGGTGTTTACAGTTCGGAGTCCTGTGAGCTACTGAAGCCAAGTAACATTGGATGACGGCCGCGAAAGCCTTTCGCATTTCACCCTCAATATTTGTTTCCTTTATTTTATGGTTCAGTATGACTGCCTTTTTGCCATCCTTATTATCTGTTTTCAAACTTGAATCTATGGAATTGTCCTTTTTAAAAAGCACTGTGGATGTTTTGTGGCATAAACAGGAAAAGGCAATCATGTAACTAACTTTTACCATTTGGTGGTTATGTCACTGGATTGCACCCAATTCTGAGCCTATTCAGATCTCTCACCCCATGTAAAAGGATGATGGCCAGTGGCGAAGGTGGGTATCCAGTAAAGCATTACGAGTATATCAGACTTGTAAAGGTGTGGGGGGCAGGTTCAAGGGGGTATAATTAGCAATCCTTGACGATCAGAAACCATTTAATCTTTTATGCTAGGCCCATGTCTGGATGAGACGGCACATACGTATCTCCGAAAGGTAAACTCAGGAATAGCTTTTGAAGCGGTGAGATGCCAGTATTGGCGCACAGTGATTATTACTCAAGTGTGAATAATACACAAAAATTTGTTCTCGAAAAGTAAACGCCAAATGTTGGCATGTTCAGCTGCTTCGTGGCTGCTTTAGAGCTCTTCAGGCAACAGTCGGAATTTAAATCAATCTCGGCCTTCTCAGACAAGTGTTGTTGAACTATTTTGAATATAGATCTACTGTTGAATGACAAGGCTTTAATATTAGGTGCATTCACAAAACTACAGCATTTATTATCAGAGCTCTATCTTTCAGGTCTCATGTCCCTTTTTTCAACTGCTTGTTTGGAGCAGTATTCTAAGTCATGGTCATCTGATTATTTCAGTGTGTGTATAGATGACTGAAAAACAATGTTGACAATTTTTTGTAAATAAAATGTTTTCTGTACATCAATCGTAACATGTTAGTGGAGCTGTGAAATTGTATGTCAAAATTCCACTTTTCTAGTAGAAATGAGCGGCTAATTACTTTTATCTTATCAGTTTTTCTCTTTGAAAGGTCCTTGATTTTCTTGAAATTATATTTTGCTGCAAATTTAATTTTCAAAAAAAGCAGCGATTTTTTGAAGAGAGAAAGTGATAAGAAGAACAGTAATCTACCCGCTTATTTCTTCCATAAAAGTAGAAAATTCACATACAAGTTTAGAGCTGTTAACATGTTACGATTGGAGAAAAACTGCATAAAAATGCAAGTGCAAAAATAAACAGATAACTTTGTTTTCCAGTCACGAAAAGTATTAACAATGCTCCTCCAGAGAGGCTGTTGAAAAAAAGGGACATGGGAACATTCATGGGTGAATTTTTATCTAGTGAAGGTAAACTCCAAGTTCTATGGTTATAGCGCCAGCTACAGTTTGTTATAGTAACCATGGCGTCAAGCCTTTCTTAAGGCACGAGCCTCGTTATTAATGATTGTGCGACGGGGGCCTTTAAATCTCGGTGTTGAGGAATTCTCGCCTGTCTAATGATGTGACTGTTCATTTTCACTGACCCTCCAAGGATGGAGCTAGATTCAGTGGGGTAAGTAAGGGCCTTCTGGATGCTGATCACGGTAGGCGTGACGACTAAATTGCGACTGATGTGACAACACATCTAGATGTAAGGGAAAAGCTTAAGTAGCGTCTACAGGTTATGAATTTCAAATCCTCCTATGGACAATGTGTCCTTAAATTTAGGACTTTTTTACGGACCATATAGATCATGCACCAATGTCAAATCCTTACTTATCCTGATCTACATATAACAACAATAAAGATCAGAATGCGTCATCGAAAAATCCCACGATATTGCCACATGTTCGACTTTATACAAAATATGCATAAAACCGATAATGAAATGTATAGGGTTAGCCAGGTTGAGCCCAAGACCGCGATATTCTTGAGAGAGAAGCATCGTGCTACCTAAATACCGTTTGGCATCAAACGGCTTAGCTAAAATTAACTAAGACGATTACTTTCACGGAGAGACGCCATAGAGAGGATCTGATAATCTCCTTCAGCATAATCAAGTTCATTGTGGTGAACAATGTCAAACTTACCTCGGCTAAAGAAAAATCGTTTACGTGTACACAAGTCTAAGCTAGATTAAATAATAGTTTAAAAACTGTAAAAACACGCTTTTATAGCTAACCGAACCAGAAAGTAGAAAATAATTTCTAATTACAAAGAGTTTGTATCAATCATAATTAATGACCTCAAAATAAAATTATAACAAAATATATGTTATTATCAGAATAATTCGATTCAGAGTAAAAATCCTGGAGTGCTTGATATATTAAATGTTACAATCATTCTATTGGTAACTATCTATGAGAGGAGAGTTGTATTAAAATGCACTTCACGCTTTTTACTCTTCATTGAATTATTCTGCTAACTTAAATTTTATTATAATTTTATTTTGAGGTAATATAAACTCTTTATAATTAAACATCATTTTGTACTTTTTAGTTCGGTCAGCTAAAAAATGGTGTTTTTTAAACTATTATTTATTCTTCATTTTGTAGTTCTATTTATCAATTAGTTGTTTGTGGACATGTGGTATTGAAATGTTTTACGAACCATTTCGTAATCTAATCATTTCATTTAAAGCTTCGCTGTTCCATAGAGCTTTTCCTGTTAACATTGAACAATCAAGTTCTTTAACCTGAATACCGTCTAAAGATCTTACACGACTAAGTGCTACATGAGGTTGTCCATCAGATAAATGACTGCATGATCGACTGTACAGTCTTGCATCTTATGGACGGTCGAAGCCCAACAACCAACAAAGAGTAAGTCCGAATCTGCACGCATGCGCAGATCGCGCACTGACTCTTATCTCTCTTACTCCCCTACAGAGGGTCTATAAAAGAATGTATCAATCCTGGCGATCCTAATACGCACAATTTAAAACTGTTTTCAAATTATTGCATTATCATAGGTCCTTGATTCGTGTGCGAAGTTTCAAATTAATCAAACTTCTGGAAATTGGTAAAAATTATTCTCAAAGATTCTGTCACATACATACATACAGGCCAAACTAATGAAAGCGTGTTGAAAAGATCGATGCAATACCACTGCAAAACTTCTTTTATAAACAGAGAAACATTAAATGGACTATCTTCATATCGATGAATGCTTTCAAAAACAGTTTGTAAAGTTGCTATCATTCAAATCCATGTTTATAGCTTCTATATTGTCCTGAAACTTGTATTTTTATGAGTTCCTTAGTTTCGGCTTTACTCTTATTTCATAATTAATAATAATATCACAGATTGTTGATACGTTCATGATATTTCCGCCATTCTTATTGAAATTGTTGTCGGTGACGATTGTGCGCTACAATATAGCAGTCAGGATTTCTATATGTTGCAAATAAACGCAGGCCATACTGCTAACTAACAAAGTACTCCGGTAATATAATTGGCAATAATCGCTTTTTGGTATGCTTTGTTCAATGCATATATTGTATGAATGTTAATCAATTGTGCCATATTATACCAATAATGAAATCAAATTAAACTATTTTGCAGTTAGTTTGTGAGGTATTCACGCACATAATTATTCTCATACAGTTGTTACCTGTTGACAAAATTAAATGGTAATGGAGAAATATATTTAAAATTAGGAGGGTTATTTCTAGAATTTTCAAAATGTTTATGTTTTACCTTTTAAGTTATTTCTTCGACCTATTATAATATTTAATAAGTATTCAAAAGAGAATTCATAAATCTTAGCGTAAACCCTGGTCTGTCCTCTTGTCATTTTGAGAGATCTTAACGGCCACTTCCATTGATGTCATTTCTAATACACAGGTGCGATACTAAAGGTTCTCCGTAATATGAGAGAGCCCTAAACATAGACCCATCGATCCCCTACATGAAGTGATCTGCATCCAAGCTTGCTATCGTCCTTTCGTGTTTCTTCCGCAACTCTGGTATTTTTTCACCAGAGTCGACAGTAGGCCATGTTCAACGTGCTCAAAAGATTGAACACGTGGTGTTCAAGAATAAATTGTGCTTTACAACGGAATCATATTTCTAAATATAGATGTTTAGAGATACAAATAATTTGCTAGGCAAATTTTTTATTAAAGGCTGAAGCTGTAAAACTAATATTTCGGTGTATTTTCGATAAATGATGTAGTATTGGCCAACTTGGTCCATAGAATTTTCAAGGCAGTCGATTTAGATAACACCTAGTAGGCTAGATCCATGAGCAAATTCAGGCAGCAGCGGTGGCCGCAGTAGTAGACTCTTCGGTCACCCGATCAGTC